GTTTATTATTTTTCTTTGCGCTTTTATCCTTTAAAAGGCTTCTGAACCACTAACAGTTGAGCGTGTTTTGAAATGTTAATATTCTTGACTTTATAAAATCATTGTCCAACTTCATAGCCGCAATGCCAAGTAATGTAGCCTCAACAAATATCACGACAACTATAAGTAATATTCGATCCCTGCTCGTGCTGGCATCAGATGATCAGAGCTATTAAAATAGCATGTAGCAAGCTTTACATGTAATAATTTGCCGATATAAATGTATAACTGAAACTCAAACTTTTCCGTATCCCTTGGGAAGAATCGCGATAACCGGCGTCTTCACCACGTAGCAAATTAATAATAGACTTTCTCTGTTCTGGTTTCAACTGAATTTCGAAGCCTAAATACTTGAAATATAAGAGAAATATACGTCTATCGCTATTTCGATACGCGAGCAAAATTGTTGTTGACATTTGAGTTACATAATTACTTCCGTTAACGAGATTAACCAATGGGAAACTTTTCCGAAGATTCTTCGGAGAAGAACAAATTTGTCATAGGCATTTGGTCAGGCATTTATTTAACGACACCCTCTCTTCTCCTGCCCGCACTAAACGCCTGCTACTAAAACGAATGTTGTTTTTTTTTCGAAGAAGGTAAAACCTGGTGCATGTTGCCAACCGGCAACGTTAAAAGAATACAGGGTTATCCGGCGAAGGTGCAAAAGTAGCGGTCGACTACGAAAACGAAATTTACGACACACAAATTCTGAAACTTCACGGTATATGTCTGTATAATTTAGAAATATAAAAATATAGGTCTGCAACGCTTGTGTATAAAAACGTGGTGTGAAATCACTAGCATGAAAGGCCACAGTTTGTTTATGAAAAGCGAAACACAATAATTTCCGAAGATCTATGAAGAGAACTCTGTCTCGGCTGCATCCTTGCCCGCAGACGCATGGTGCCCACACACATATGGTGCCTGCACAGTGGACGCATCCACAAGCGCCCGTAGATGCACGGCGCCTGCAGGATGGATACCCACATTTTGGACACTGTTTTTGACAAGCTATTTCTTGGCAGTACTGTAAACAGTCAAGAAGATGCTAGAAAGATGGCGACCATGGGACAACTTTTTTACTAAGTTACACATCTGTCCATACTTAATCTATGGCACTGTACCAGAATCGCAGGGCTGCAGGTTCGATTCATGCCAGAGGGCCTATACATGTAGTGGCAAAAACCATTCAACTGTTTGAACTTTTCATTGTGCATAGTTAACTGCTTGGCTACTGGCCTCTATAAACTATTTAAGTAGTTGAGAAAGTTTATGCCAGTTGTTCCTTTGGTCTTCCTTTGTGTTTATATTAAATTGTCAAGCTATCAGTTAACCTGTGTATTATTAAATACAGACATATAAATTCGTAACAAACGGAAAAGTCATATCTCTAACACAAGATCCAAATGGTAAAATTTATACACTTTAATATCTGGAGTATCAACAGAGAAGTGCTTTTGTTTTTGTATAAAATTTCGATACCTTAGTAGATTCACAGTCGCTTCTTCCTCTTGTGTCTCGATCTCAACTACTTTCCACGGCATCCTGGCGTACTACGGTTGCACAATTTTAAAATAAAGTGCAAAATTCACCGTCTTTTGGTAAACATTTTTATTCAATATCAGCTCAACACTCTGAGCTCAACAGCTCGTGACTCGTGTTTCCCGATTCCCGCTCTTTTTGCATTCTAGTTCCACTCTTCCAGGGCTCGCACTTCCTTCACTTCCCTTTGCCACAAATTCCTTAGATTCTAGACATTCTAAGCAAAATTCCTTATGTTTTAGAATGTTTCTGATAGTGGATCGCAGGCAGGGGCGAAACTTGGGGGGGGGGGGGGGGGGGGG